GTCTCGTGACATTGTTGGTTTGTGTTATGACGATTATAATTTACATTGCACGATAAATGCTCGATGAAATGCCTGTTAGTATTCACAACTCGTAGCAGAGAACTTTCGATAACCCATAAGAAACCATGTTGTTTAAATCGTGATCAAGCCTTATTTGTAAGTTAAAAAGCTAATTGTTGCAGTTTTTTGAATTCTAGAGAGTGATATTCCGAGAAGAAAAAGGAATCTGCCATGGCTGCTACGAGGATTCGGGGAAGCAGCTTTTCTCGTAATGTGTCGGCTGCACCCGCCTGCCAGACGCCAGGGCTCAAGTATGGTCCTAATGGGACGACCTTTGTCTCATCTGGGATTCCTGACCTTGATAGTAATTTTCTGCATTTTCAATTTAATTGTTTCTTCTTAAAGTTGAATTGAGTATTGATGAGTAAGATTGCTTTTACAACTTTATGTGAAGTTTGCAGTTTAGATTTTTGTGTTCTTGCAGGGTGTTTTTGGAGAGATTATAAACCATCTGAAGTAAAAGCTATACCCAACAGTTCTTTAAAGATGTTGTACTATCTTATAAACTATTTGTTATTTACTAAATGTGTGATATAATTTTTTAACGTGCCATCAGAGAGTTTACATTGTCACCTTTTGAAAAAGATAAAGCTAGCCAAACATTCCCTTAGAGCTGAAACTTATTGTCTTTTATATGTAGAGATACTAGGTGGAGGGTTTCCTCTGGGAAGCCTTGTCATGGTGATGGAAGATCCAGAAGCACCTCATCACATGCTTTTGTTACGGAATTTCATGTCTCAAGGACTTGTTCATGGGCAGCCTCTTCTTTACGCTAGTCCGTCCAAAGACCCAAGAGGGTTTTTGGGTACTTTGCCAAGCCCTGCCTTATCGAAAGAAGATAAGTCGCGTGAGCGTGATTTGGATCAGGTGCATTTCATCTTCAGTTCCTCGTGCCTGTCATTTGCAAGTTATTTGATTTGCCAACATGGGTGAATGTTAAGAATTCAGTAGTATTTCTGCAAAACATTGTAGGAGAAGGGGTTGAGAATTGCCTGGCAGTACAGAAAGTATTTTGGTGAAAATCAGCAGAACTTCGATGTTCAAAGAGGTAAGCTTGTCTAGAAATCTCTTAACTATTGTATACTCGTAAATTGTACAAATTATGTATGTTACTTTTTGGTTTATATCAAGCTCAAAAGATAAAACTGTTTCTAAATGGTATTATGTTACATGGCTCTTGAGCTACAAGTCTCATGAAACCTTGTCATACAGACGCCAAGCACGAATATTGCAATGACTTTGACTTGCGAAAGCCCCTAGAGAGGCACTTTCTTAGTGGGCAGCGTATAGATTGTGTTAGCATCCAAGATTCACCAAATCTTGTTTCTCTTCGGGAACGTATTTCCTCTTTTTTGGCTCAATTTCCAAGGTATGATCATATGCTTCCTTAAGATATTTATTCATGCTTTGAATTGAAAGCTATGTTGCTCGTCTTCAGTATGCCTTGCTTGCTTTCCCTGCCCCCGCTTTCTTCCCTCAGCCATGGTTGTTTTGTTTCCTTTCCCTTTTCTTTCCTCTTTTCC